TCTTCATTGATCTTCTGCCTTACCACACATCATGTCCTTCTTCGGGGACTAGTCACTCTTGACAACGTGTCTGCAGTACCGGAGACAAAGTCTTGCCATCTTTGCTTCTAAGAAGCATACTGGCTGTACTGCTTCCAAGGCAGATATGTATATGGCATAGTCAACATTCCTTATCAGTAAGATGTTTCAAGTGCATCACTCCATCCCCAGTCTTTCTTATATACTGTCTAGCTTTCACTTGCATATAGAGTGATTGAAAATATCATGACTTGGGTCAGGCACAGCTTAGACCTCAAATTGACATCTTGGCTTTTTTTTTAAAAAAAAACACTTTAAAGAGGTCTTCTGCTTATATTTACATAATGTTATTTGTCATTTGATCTTGTGACTGCGTTTTCTTTAGACACTTATTGTAGGCCTAAGGGAAGCAAAATCCTTAGCACCTATAGGATTTTCTTATGATCTCATCATGATGGATATAATACTGATCTTATTGTAAAGATTGTTGTTTCCTTTTATGTGGCGGTATTATGTTAGGCTGGGTTGTCTAGGGAAACAAAACCAGTGACATCCATCCATGCAAAATAAAGAACTTTTTAATCAGGAAATAATTCTGTATCAAAGAGGCATCCTAGCCAGTCCAACTCAAGTCCTTAAGCCCAGTGCTATCTGGGGGCTCTGCAGGCTCGCTCGATGCTGAGTAGCAGACAGAGAGATGGTTCCCAATTCTTCCCTTATAAAAAGGACCTACCCCCAAGGAGGCATCATCAGGCTTTTATCTAAATGACAGTTGAACTCCGCCCCTAATCAGGAGTGTCTAGCTGACATAATATCTAATTATCACAGGTGTACTCCATGCTGAAAGATTTGCTCTCCATCATTAAGTGATTCATATCCTTTTCCTTTTCAGCAAGCAAGGCTGTATGCATCACATGTTGTTAATTAGCCTTCTTCCAATTCTGATGACGCATTCTCCTTTGTGTATCTGGCCTCTTGTATATTATTAACTCTTCATACATACTGAATAAGTATGGTGAGAGCATTCAACCATAACACACAACTCTTCTGATTTTAAATCAGGCAGCACATTCTTGGATGGTGGAAACAACTGTGTCCAGGTCTATATGTGGTACTAAAGATGGACAATGGGCATCCTTATCAGTTTATACAGGAGCAGTGTATCATAGTTGTTTCATCGAGAAAAGAGGGCGCTTATATTGTATACTATATAAAGTTACTAAAAATAAGCTTGTGTTTGTTTCCTGAACTCAAAACAGATATCTAAAGATTACATTTCATGTAGCATAGCCTTTAATACAAATCAAACTTTTAAAATAATCAGATACAATCAAGTTAGTCTTCTCTAGTATCCTCATGACAGGGAACAGAAATAGATTACTTTCCTTGCCACATTGGACTATAGATGAATTTACAGTGGGTGATAACTTTATTGAATTTCAGTGTTTCTTCTCTTTCATCCTGATCCTAGCTGAGCATGTATGTTCTACTAGGCAGACAAAAACAAGAACCCAGAAAA